CCCGGGCCGGAGCGCAGGGCTGCGCGGCGGAGGCGGTGCCGGGTAACCACGTGTGCGCGGGGCGATGGCGGCGATGCCGGGAGCCCCGGGTGTCCAGGCGATCCAGAGGATCCAGACGTGCCTCAGGGTGGCGGGAGCGGCGGCGGCGCGCCCCGAGTGCTTCCTCAGGTACCGCGGGGCGGCGGGGGGAGGCACTGGTAGCCCTAGAGAAAACGTGGAGAATAGTACCCAGGTGTAAAAGTTGAGTGAGGCGGTGGAGAATGGCAGTTACCTTTTGAAACCTGGGGTCTGGACCATTGAGGTCTTTACTTCCCAAAAATGCCTGCAGTGCTTAAATAAGATCAACATATTGTAAGATGCAGCTGTAGAAAGCTGGAATTTTCTGTCCAGTTGCTACTTCATACACAAAATGTAATAAAGCTCAAAGGATTAAGAAGTTTGTCTTTTTGTTTCTATGAATGTGTAGTAGCAGTACTCCAAAAGATGTGTGCAAAATTAAGCCACAGCAGTAACTATTGAAAGGTGTTGTTTTGTAGCACCAGAGTACCACAGCACTTACAGGAGAAGCAGTGTGATTGAATTAATGGAAAGTGTTAAAAAGTGTTAAGCTTTTCTTTTTCCGCTCTTAGTGTGCAGGATGGACTTGCTGCCGACTTCAGAGCAATGACAAAGACTCTCTATGATTTGAATAAAGGAAGTAACATAGTTCGTGGGGGCCCTCTAAAAGAGCTGGTGATAGAAAATTTTGATGAAGAACAGATTTGGCAGCAATTAGAGCTTCAGAACAATGCAGTTCTCGATTTCTTCAAGAAATCTATTGCAAGGGATGCTGAGGATGAAGATCTTTGCCTTCTCTCAGACCAGGAAGAGGATGGCTCTGATGCAGAGACCAGCAGTGACAAGGAGCTGGAAGACAACATAATGGAAGCAGAAACTGAACAGATGAATGTTTATACAAAAGATAAAGATAAAAGTAAAACTAAAGAAAAGCAAAGTAAACTCAGAGAAAGCATAATGCAGAAATACAGTGATGAGGATTCTGATATTGACTTTGATATTGAAGCATTGGAACAACAAGCTAAAACAGCCAAGGAAACCACATTGAGAAAAAAGGGAAGAAAATCAGTCGTGGATGACAAGTTTTTCAAGCTGGCTGAGATGGAAGCTTTTTTAGAACATGTAGAGAAGGAAAACAAGGAAGAAGAAGAAGAAGAAGATGATATTGATTTTTTTGAAGACATTATCTCAGATGATGAGGAAGACTTGGAAGAAGCTAAAGTCAAAGTAAGAATATCAGTAAAATAATTTTCTGATATCTCTTTTCCTTTAAATCAAAATCTGGTATCTGTTAGGATAACCATAAAGTGTTTAACCCTATGTAGAAACTGCCAAATTACATTTGTTTAGATGACTGCTGATTACTTCTGAAGCTTTACTTTAACAATGAATATCTGGTAAGAAAATTTCCTGGTATAGAAGGACATAGCATCCTGCTATTCCAGTCTCTCCTTACATGGGCCTTGGGCTTCTACATAAATAAAGGAAGAGATAGTACCCACAGGAAACCAGGGATCTTGAAGAATTGCAGAATAGGTGACCCAGCAAATTAAAAAGATTTGTCACTCAGCATCTGGCAATTAGATATCACTAAGTGGCTGATGCAGAGTAAAGGGTTTTTTCCAGGGACATGCCTTGTAACTCTGATACAACTTAAATTGATGAGTAATGGATTCAAAAAGAAGTATTTTATTGCAGACATTCTTACTAGCAAGTAAGAGATATACCCAGGGAATTAGTGTCCATTCCAACACAACACTGGAAAATCTACAGCTCCTTGATTTCTGTATGTGTGAGTGGTAGAGAACTGTAAATACCAGGAAAATAAATCAATTTTACTATGATGCCCTGCCACAGGTTAATGCATCACTAACCTGAATTACTGTTACACAAGTAGTACTGTTCTTCAGGCACTAAAAACTTTAAAAGACAGATACCCTTTGATTTCTGTCAGTCTTAACAGCTGTGGTTTGATGTTTGTTTTCTTTCTTTCCCTCTTGCCTTTTTAGCCAGTTAAAAGTTCCAGAGATATGACATACAAAGATTTCTTTGATCCAGTTGATGATGATGATGATGATAATGGCAATGGTGTAGGTAATGATGCTGAAGAGGATCAGGAAGAGAGTGCTATTGAAGAGCAAAATGAAGAAAGTATGTCTGAGTAAGTAAAATGTCCTCATAATTTTACACCAAAGTAAAGCAGAAAATACTGAGAATGCCACACTCACTCTGGTCATAGTTTGCCATTCTCAGTTAACTGTTTTATGTTCATGGTTTGTGTTGTCATCTTATGTAAAATCAGCTTATTTAATTTTTTAAAATATTGTCCCTCGATCTTTATTTGAATAAAGTATTTTAGAGTTGCTCAAGGTTATTTTTATTATCCAGAAGTTTCCGTAGTGTCCTGTATCTTTAGGGAGGTCTTCGAGACCTGTTTTGAACTGTAAGTTAGTTGTAATATCTAAGGGCTGAAATATCTTCATGTGAAAAATTATAAAGGCTTCTCAACTTTTATTTGATATTAAATGTTATTGTTACAGGTTCGAGAATGTGGATGAAATGGTAGAGCACATGAGAAGTAAAGAAGCTTCTAAAAAAGTAACTTTTAATTTGCCAGATGACAGTGAAACAGAAAATGTAACTGAGGTGCAATTAGAGAAGGGCATCAGTCCCAGTGAAATAAAGTCATCATTTGAGAAGAGACAGGAAAAGGTAATTTTGGTTTATTTTTTTTCGGTTTTGTTCATACTTTATTTGGATAATACTTTGAAACAGTGGCAAATATTTTTTTTTTTACTTCTGTCAATTTGTTCAGAGTCCAGCAAATACAAAGAGGGTGTGTAAAATTTAAGGAAAACATCTGGTTTATCTACATAGATACATCTACAATCATATCTATTCCCTCACATACCTGAAATAAATATTAATTTCTTGCTGTGAGTTTATGCGTGAGCTCTGTTTTAAACTTCCAAGGTAATTGTGTTTTTCAGATGAGCAAAAAAATAAAAAGCTTGGAAGAAGCACTGTTGGAGGAGAAACCTTGGCAGCTTAAAGGAGAAGTGACTGGACAGAAACGCCCTGAGAACAGCCTTTTGGAAGAAACAGTGCTTTTTGACCATGCAGTGCGAATGGGTAAGGAGAGGGACAGGGCTTTGCTCACTGCATGTTGCAGACCCTGTTGGGTGTTCTGCTATTTGACCTTACTGAAAACACCTATGACTCAAAAGCAGGGTAGCAGGACACCAGGTTAAACTTCTTGATGTGATTTTGTGGTGGTACATTTTCACAGTGGAAACTACAGGAATTTATTTTTATTTTTTTTGTTAGTTTTTAATTTACCTGAAAGTTCATAACTTTGGTGGCAGACCTGGTAATTTATCGGCCTTACATAATATGACTTACTTATATTTACTTCACCTTCAATTGCTACATTTTTGTGAAGGCTTTACTTTCTTTATCTGTAGTTATAGAACAAGAACTATTTATTGCTGAGGAAACATTAATCTTCAAATTCTTTGTTTTTCCTTTCAGCACCTGTGATCACAGAAGAAACTACTTTTCAGCTTGAAGATATTATTAAACAGAGAATATTGGATGAGGTTAATATTATCTTACCTGTTCCTCCTAACGTTGTTCATAGACTTGATTGACAGTGCACATTCCAAGGATGGGTTTGAAGCATTTCCAATGCTAGGTGTAAAATGATGTTATTTTCTGCAGCTGATTGTTTTATTCTTTTGTCTTGATTAATGTGTCTGTAGATTTGTAAGTAGCCCTATTTTTATATCCCTGTTATATGCCAATTTTTATTGCACTTCAAAACATGAGTGTGTGCAGATAAAACTGTAAGGAATTTGGAATATAAAGCCAGCCTGTAAGTGTTGGCTGTTACCATAACTAGTGCTCTGAGCATTCTGAACACTGAAGGAAACTCAGTTTTTTACTTCATTTTGCTTCAAAGCCACTGATAAAAAATTTGTATCTCACAGCTTGTTGAGCCTTACTGTCCATTGAATTAAAAAAGATGGGGAAGAGTTTGTAACTTGTTAGAGTTTTTGCCTTCATTTACTAAAACCAAGGAGACAAGTAGAGCTATAACTTTTTTTTTCGTGAAAGTGCAAAACTTGGTGAGTCCTGGGAAGCTTCATGCATGAACTAGTTAATGTGCCAGATAAATAACTGAAAAATATTCAAAATAAGATGTACCTGGTATTTGACTGTAATTGCATTTGGTCATTCCTTTATGACTTTCTCAGGCATGGGATGATGTAGTACCAAAAGAAAAACCCAAAGAGGAAGCTTTTGAGTACAAGAAGCGGATCAGTTTGGATCATGAAAAGAGTAAGCTGAGTCTTGCTGAAATCTACGAGCAAGAATACATGAAACTTCACCAGGTAGCATAAACAATGCCTTTCCTTGGGGTTTCAAGTTCACACCATGTACTCTTCTGTGTTCATTTACACACTTTCAAAGTGGAAGTAATTTAGTCCTTTTCTGAGTGTTCACCCATGAAAGTGCTCTGAATTGTAAGTTGCGTTTTTACCAGCCTTGCTAAAGTCGAATAGCCAATGTTACAGTTACATTGCGTTTTTAATGCAGCAAAAGACTGAAGAGGAAGAAAATCCCGAACACAAAGAAATTCAGGAAATGATGGATTCACTCTTCCAGAAGCTAGATGCACTTTGCAATTTCCACTTCACACCCAAACCAGTAAGTGCATAAGTTTCATAAACTTGGGAGCCTTGTCCTTTTTTTTACCTGGATACTTTAAAATATATTCCAGAAATGGAAAGCAAAGTAAGCATCGGTGTTTACTGAGCTCATTCCTATTTCATATTAAATGCACTGTGCTTGCCTCTAAACAAATCCAAATACTTGTGATTTTCAGTTGTCTGTCAGCTG